TTGAATAAATCCAGAACTAGTTGAATAAGTCAGATTGCAGTTTCACCAAAACTAGTCGACTAGGTCTTGACTTAGTCGAATAGTTTGGCAGTTTCAACTCTTAAACGGCCATTTTTTTCAAATCTTTTGGTAGTTACTCCGTCCTATCCTTATTTAAACTACTCTATCTCGTGTTTTTGGCCAAGAATATACATTGAAAACACTTCAAAAACATATGTTTTGAATATCCAAAGAGATTCTACTCAAACCCCTTCTTATATCCAAGCAAGGCAATTGTTTTGATTGCTAAATCATTTCTTGCTTGAGTTTTTCCTCATTGCTTGAGTCTTTGAGAGATATTGCCATATTCTAAAGGACTTCATTGTATTTGCAACAATCTACTCCGTGTTGGGAGAATTACTCGGTTGCGGTTTGTTTTCTTACTTTATTGTAAGGGATTTGTATTCTTGGTGTTGGGATTACACCAAGTGGTAGAAATCCTAACGGTTTGTGAAATCAAACATTAGGCGGAAGAAATCCTGTGTTTTGTGAAATCAAAACTTCGGTGGTAAGATAAGAGGCTTGTGAAATCAAGTTATCGAGTTGTATTCGGATTGTCAAACTCCATTAAGTTTGACGGGTTAGTGAAGGCCTGGGCACGATTGCTTCGGGGACTGGATGTAGGCATTTAGGTCGAACCAGTATATATCGTGTGTGCATTACTCTTATCCTTCACTTTATTTTGTTTGTGGTGCATTATTTTTATTGAATATTCGTGAAGAACGTTTCCGCGCAAAAAATTGGTCTTTTGGGCAACACCTCTATTCACCCCCCCCCCCTCCAGAGGTGTGCGAGGCGTCTAACAGAAATTAGGGTTCTTGAGAATTTTATCAGAGAGTTCTCGCGAAGAAGACGACGAAAATTTGAGTGGGCTGAGTGGGCAGTTGAGATCTGAATAGTGGCGATTGGGTTTTATTTGGGCGATTTATGCGGCTAGTGGCGATTGGGTTTTTAACTGTTCCTAAGACCACGTGCCTACCCATTATTTTGACAGACGTGGAAAGTGGACTGCCACGTGTACCGCACTCAGTCTAATTAAATTAGACCAATTTTGTGAAGCAAATCGGAAAACTTGGCTTCACTTAGTGGTTTTGTGAAGATATCCACCAATTGTTCTTCAGTTGAGATATACTCAATATACTCAATTTTGATATCTTTCTTTTCCACATGATCTCTGATGAAGTGATGCTTGACATCAATTTGCTTAGTGCAAGAATGATACACTGGATTTTGTGAGATGGCTATAGCACTTTAATTGTCACAGAAGATTGTCACTTCCTTTGTTTTGACTCCATAATCCAGTAGTTGTTGCTTTAGCCACAAGATTTGAGCACAACAACTGCCAGCAGCAATGTACTCTGGTTCTGCTGTTGATGTAGAGATGGAGTTTTGTTTCTTACTGAACCAAGACACAAGATTTCCTCCAATGAATTGACAAGTACCAGACGTACTTTTCCGGTCAACTTTGCATCCGGCAAAGTCAGAATCTGAGTATCCTATTAACTCAAACGAACTGCTCTTAGCATACCATAAACCCATATTCTGAGTTCCTTTGAGGTACCTAAGAATCCTTTTGGCTGCTATTAGATGACTTTCCTTTGGCTTTGACTAGAATCTGGCACAAACACCTACCGCATATGAGATATCCGGACGGCTTGCAGTAAGGTAGAGTAGAGATCCAACTATTCCTCTGTAGAGAGTTTGATCAACATCCTTTCCATCTACATCCATATCAAGCTTGATGGATGTACTCATGGGGACAGAAACGGATGACTTCTGATCAACTTTGATTTTCTTGATAAGATCCCTTGTGTACTTGGCTTGGTTGATGAGAGTTCCTTCACTTCTTTGCTTGATTTGAAGACCAAGGAAGTAGTTGAGTTCCCCCATCATGCTCATCTCAAATTTTTCTTGCATGAGAGTGGAGAACTTGGTGCAAAGAGCTTCCTTAGTAGAGCCAAATATGATGTCGTCCACATAGATTTTGTAACGCCCCAAAAATAGGCCTATCAGAGTTAATTAATTTATAATTAATTAATTACTGAGAAGGAACCAAAAATAAGTAAATTCTAAAGTTTGTCAATAAATAATGAAAATCATATCATTATGTAGAGTTTGACTGTCTGACCCCAACGGTTCAATCGGATTTCAATTTGGAGAAAGTTGGAACAAAAAGTGTACCCCAACTGGGACCAAAATTAGTCCCAATCAGGGACTACACACCAAACGGCGCCCTGTTCAATTACGCCGATTCCAAATCGTCGCTCAATCACGGAAGCTGCAACCCATGTCTTCTTCCTTCCTCACTTGGCTATTTAAGGACAACCCAACTCCCTCATTTCATCACCAAAACAACTCATTCTTCCTTCTA